TTGTTGGTCGAGCTTCAGACACGCCCGTCGGCAAGCTTTTTTTGAAGCTGTAGTGTGGACGGGCCGTAAGTGTGCTCTCATGGCATTTTTTTTTTCATTTGTGCTGTTTCATGTGTCTTTGAGGTCAACATATGTATGATCTTNTCTCTTGAGGTGTCTTCACTTATGTGAAACCCTTTATATATACAATCTATGTGTGAAACCCGTGCCTATTGACAAGCCCTGATGTTATATCTTTATATTTAAGGCCAAGCTCAAAGTAAAATCGATGAACCACTCCATTGTTGTGGTTTCTGTGTTGCCGTAGCAGCCGAACTGACCAGGAAGTACATTGAGCTAAATGAAAAGTTTTGCGAGATCTCGCAAAAGTATTGCGAGATCTCGCAAAGGTTTTTTTAATTGTTGTTTTCTTCTCCGTGTCCCCTAGGGGGCTCCGTACACATATGGCTCCAATAGTTTCGAAGATAAGCAAGGAATACTGGATTAAGTTCAAATTCTAGAGAAACCAAAATCTTGAAACCATTTTCCATGTTTCGGTAAAAAAGAGCGCGTTGGTGAGGTCTTGGTGTCACCTCGACTTTTTGTATTGACTATTATTCTAGTATTGACTGAAGGAGTCTTGATGCAAAGTGTAGATTTAGAATGACATACAGTAGGTTTTACTTTTTGTGAATATGAGTATAAATAGTGATGTCAGATAGACTGGCATAAAGAGAGAGATTGTAGGTAGATCTGGATCCCTGCAGGAAGCTGAAATATAATCCATATATGGATGCAGAGGCTGAGAAGGTCAGAAATGAATTGCAAGAGTATGCTGTGAGAAATAAATGTGGTGGAGGTATCAGAATAATGGCTGCCTGTTACTAGTTTGATATACATTTTTTTTTTAAAGGCTGATTCCTGATAAACTGGCTATGGATGGTTTAGGCATAGGTGATAACATTGCAGATAGACATGACAGAAGGAAATGGCAGCTGGTGTGTGTTATGATATGCCCGGAAACCATTCTAGTAGAGAGATTGTATGGAGCAATGCTGTTAATGATGGCTTCTTGTGAGGTATTCCAGCTGTCGAAATAGTTTAATATTGGTATGAATAATGGTAGGTCTGGTGTGTGTGAAATTGAATCACCCTCAAACAGATCAGTGCCTGAATGGACGGATTGATCTGCAGGTCAGGACCCACTCCGAGCTGGATCTTTGGTGTAGCTTTAGTCAAACTTTTTAGATTGATGCAAGTGAGTGATGAGGCAGGAAGTAGAGTATAAGAAGGCATGATAATGGATAAGTTAACTTCATTAGTTTACAATACATGTTTGTTGTGTGTCTTCTGTTCTGTTTCTCACTGTCTCTGTCTTGTGTTGTACTGTTTGTGCAGATTCAATTACATGAGCGCAAGTAATGAGTGGCATATTATTCAAAATGTTAGAACAAAAAGTCAAAATTAAGTCAAATACTATGGACAAGAATCTTTTTTGTATCCTCTCTGGATTAAAGTAGCGGATAAAAGTTTTTCACACTGGCTATTCTGATATTAAGTCCGCCAAACTTGGGAATATTGTATATCGTGTGGCTGAGACGTTGAACAAATTTACCATCGTACTAGTTTATCCATGCATTAATAAATCTGTGTGAACATATCCTCTTGCGTGCTAACCCTGCTTAGTAGTCTGTCTGTGCCAGCGGTACACAGTGTGCTCTGCTTAGTAGTAATCCTGTGTTTGTACTGTAGGCGTGGACCAGATAAAACGCAAACACATCTCACTTGGTCCAGATAGAATTAAACATCAGTGGGAAATGTGCAAAGGCTCTGAGCCCCGCCGGCCTCTTTCCTTTAATCAAAAGAAAATTGCCGCTAGCATCAGTGCCAAGCAAACTCATTGTAGATGAATGTCCAATCAGTGAAACATGGTATGTGATTAATCATGTGTGAAGTAAAGAAGGACGAGCGAGAAGAGATGCAGCTACTTTTACAACTTTGTTGAGCATGTTTCTGTGTCTGTACTGTGTTCTGCCTGTGACCTAAATGTTCAAATGTTTATGTTTAGGTCTCACCCATGAGCATTACCAGGATGAAACACGACTCTTTGGAGGTACTCGCCTTCAGTCTTTTCCTCTTGTATCAGCCGCTGTCATTGAACTGCCCATAGGAAGTTTCAGAGAGTGGCGCTGTTGTGTGATCTGAAATATCAGGCCAAGTTCAGTAGAATAAAATCAACCCAATCCTACAGACTGTGCACTTTATCAATCATTTCCCCTCCATCTAGAACCAATCAGTGCAGAGCTTAGCTTAATCTGTGGGTCTGCCCTTCAGTATTGTAATATTACAATACTTAGAATAATACTTTAGATTGCACCAAAACAAACACCATGCTTTTAGATATGTATGTATGAATTCACATATACAGTAGTTTAGAACTTTAGACTGTTATTTGATCAAATACCGGACAGTAGATTGTCAATGTCTTGTGTTTTGTGTCTAACTCTGTATGTTCATCCATCATTGTTAAGTGTTGTGGTCTTGTCCTCTTTTAATCATATCTTAAGCTAAAAGACATGCTGAATGTACGTTATTCAAATATGTATCGGCTCTTATTTCTTATTCATGTTCCTTTTCTTCTTCACCTCTTTCCCCGCAGCCTACATAGAGGACGTGGCTCGCTGCGTGGACCAAAGCAAGCGCCTCATTATCGTCATGACGCCCAACTACGTGGTGCGGCGAGGCTGGAGCATCTTTGAGCTGGAGACGCGGCTGCGCAACATGCTGGCGACCGGAGAGATAAAAGTCATCCTGATCGAGTGCGCCGAGCTGCGCGGCATCATGAACTACCAGGAGGTGGAGGCCCTCAAACACACCATCAAAACCCTCACCGTCATCAAGTGGCGCGGCCCCAAGAGCAACAAGCTCAACTCCAAGTTCTGGAAGCAGCTGCAGTACGAGATGCCGTTCAGGCGCACAGAGCCCATGCTCAGCCACGAGCCGGCGCTGGACGTCAGCGAGCAGGGCCCCTTCGGAGAGCTGCAGACCGTCTCTGCTATCTCCATGGCGGCGGCCACCTCCACGGCCATGGCGACCGCCCACCCCGAGCTGCGATCCACTTTCCACAACACCTACCACACCACGATGAGGCAGAAACACTACTACCGCAGCTACGAGTATGACTTACCCCCAGGAGGGACCCTGCCACCTCTCTCCTCCCTGGGGAACCAGCACACCTACTGCAACATCCCACTGACACTGCTGAACGGACAGAGGCCCCCGGGGAAGAGCCGGGAGCACAGCCTGGAGGAGGCGCACGCCAACAACGCCATGCTGCCCCTGCTGCCGAGAGAAACCAGCATCTCCAGCGTCATCTGGTAGTGATGAACGGGCGTCTGATGCAGGAGGAGCCAGGCGAGGAGAGGCTCGGTCTGGGAGGAACTCAGTTTATGGTCGTGATAACGGTGCAAGGTCTTTTGGATCCATCTGGTTCCGAGCGTTGGCAGCAAGCGATGGAGCTACATGACGTTTTTGAACAGTTTCCCCTTGTTCTTTTGCAAGTGGACAGCGCCTCTGTTGCAAAGGATGTTTTCTATGTGGAACTACAGGAGGTATAATGAAAACACTGTTTCATCTAGGAGCAAGATACGGACTTGCAAGAACTTCACATTAAAGAACTTACACTCTATGGCAATTGTGCACACACTCGCATTCACACACACACACACACACCCACACACACACAAATGTGCATACACACAAACAAAAGGAAAACAGGGTCTTGTACATATATTTCGATTTATTTGTAGCATCAGTGTTTTCCTGTTTTTGTTTAATTCATTCATGTTTGTTGCCTTCTCTACAGTAGGACTTTGCTTTAACTTGTTATACAGATTTGTATATTTGTTATTGTTTTCCTCTTTTTAGTTTGTTTTTTTAATCTTATCTCAACACGCTTGTTTGGAAAGCCAGTATGTCATGTACCTGCGCTGTTCTGTTTTGTTTGTTTTTCAATCTTTGTGTAGGTTAAGAGAACATTTTTAACACTTTTGGAAATTGCCTGGACATTTCAGGAGCTTCAATGAGCTGAAACTTCTTTTTGTTTACCTGTAAAAAGGTGTATCTAGTTTGAAAGGAAACTCTCTTTTAAAAAATCATAGAATATGCAAAAAGAAGGAGGAGCTGGCAAAAATAAACCGTCCTGTGGGACCGAAACGGACGAGCGATTGGGGGGCGGGGCTAGTCCTCTCCAATCAGACGGACGGACAGACTGGCAGATCTCTCTCTGAAGCTTCATATTTTCTATTGAAACAAACAGCCTTGCTGTTTTAGAGTGATAGTGAAATGCCTCACCTTAAAAGGAAATCTGTAGATTATTTTAAAAAAGAAATCTATTTTTATAACAGAAAAGAGTTTGCTTGAGAAGTCATACTTATTTGCATTTCATCTACCACAGGAAGGGGATTTGTGTATAAGTGTTATGCTGGTTTTGTACACTTGCAATGTGGTTCCTGGTTTGTAAAGAGGTGGAGGTGGCTTTTGAGTCCCACATGAAAAAATAATGTCCTCTACTGCTCTAGATTCAAAAAGTAAAGCATTTTCAATGTTTTGGTTTGTAAAACATAATATTATTCCCATCCTGATAATTACTTTGGGTCCTATGGATAGTTCATGTTTAAGGAAAGAAAAGAATACATTTGTGTTTTGGAAGACTTTTTAAATATATTTGAAGGTGTGATTTTTGAGTATGCATAGCAAATAGATATGTATTCTATATATAATATAGATATTTATATAAATATATAAACACGATTTTCACTTGGAAAGAAATGTCTATCTTTATAGAAACACAATCATTATCAGTTGCCCTTACTTTCTCACTGCACATTAAAAACATTGATTTCCTTTTGGATGTTTTTTTTTTGTGTCCAACTCTGACCATTTCTTTGCAGATATTCTTAACATCTGCGTCATGTACTTACTCTCTAAAAATCGACAATAATAGTCAGATTAATGGCATATTCATCGCTCTTCGTTACTTATTTTGTGACAGTCTGTATTAATCAAATCAAGAGCCTCGTTTTTTAGTATCTCTACGTGTTCCCTCTCAGTGTTTCCAAACTAAGCTGCTGTGAACAGATAGTAGATACTCATTTGATTTGTCTAAATACTGCTGAAGCATCATATTAGTAACATCACTTACAGTTAGAAGCACCTCAGGAAGGGATATTTGAATGTCTTTCATTAACAGGAAGAATGATTACTGCAAGCTGACAAATTAATAGATTACTGTTTTAAGGCAGACTACAAATATAATTTCACTTCAATTCCGAAACCCCAAACATACCCCTACAGGGAGATAGTCACATGTGCTTTGCAAACAATAACTACTGAGATATTTAGTTTATAAAAAAAGAGGACATATTATGCTAATTTCCAGGTTGATATTTGGATGTTGTGCCCTTACTGTGACATGTTTGCATGCATTAATGTTCAAAAAGCTTGTCTGAAACCAGAGCCCAGTCTGCTCTGATTGGTTAGCTGGTCGGCTCTGTTGTGATTGGCCAACCACTTAGAGATATCCCTGTCTTCCAATGATTCTCATGTTGCATAATAAAACACTCATCGACAACAAACAGGATCATTAACAGAATGTCAATGCACAGTGTAAATGAGAAAGTTACACAATTAGACAGCATCATATGTCAGCAATAGGTTAACACATTTGACAAATGGTTTCGGGGGTTAGCTTTGGTTTGAATATAATTAAAATCGAAAAATAAATGTTTACAAAAAATACACATACCAAAAAAGGGAAGTACAATTAGAAAATAACCATTTCATCTGAGAAAAAAAATATGTGCAGTTTATCAGGATGAAGTGACAGTTATAAAAGAGGGTACCACTTTACAATAAGACTACCCTTATAAAGGATTCATAAAGGGTTTATAATTAGGTTATTAATTAGGTTGTAAACACTTTATTAATCATTAAGAGCCATTTATAAAACAGCTCCAACATAGTTGTCATGCATCAACACAGGCTCACTATTTGGAAAGATGACTAAGCCTTATATTGGCACTAGCTTACTTCGTCTTCTTCATCAGCCAGCATCCTTGGTATCTGTTGTTCACCGAGTTGAATC